CATATAAAGTAGAAAAAAAATTAAATTATTTTTTCTTATTTAAATAAACATTATTCAATTAATTTTAATCTATAGCAAAAGGTGTGCTATAAGATGCTTTTTAAAAAGAAGAAAACAATTTTTTTTTAATTTCCAAAATTACTGGTATGGAAATTTGGGTACAATCGGAATTTTATTTAAATTTGCCGCGAAACAAGTTCAGTGTCAAGATATTTTTTAAGAAGTATATTTTAAACGTCATTGACTATTGATAGTATTAATGAATAAAAGCATATTGTACTCGTATAGCAAGCACTTCAAAACTACAAAATTTAGCAATTGCCAAAATATTGATCTTTAACATTTTTTAAATAAGACCGCAAAAACAAAAAAAAAAAATATCGAAATGCTATCAATATACTCTTGACAATATCAAAAATGATTCTGTCAAAAAAAAATTTTATAAAAGTCAGTTTGCCGCTTAATAGAAGACAAACTAATTTTGTAATTGCAGTTTTCAGTTGCATTTTCCATGCGATTCCGTTTAATTACTAAGAGTTTCGCAGTTTTCATTCCAATCCCATTTTTTAGGGTAGGGTCACTAACAAATCATATAAAAAAATACTCGCATTTATTTTATATTTAATAAATTTCTTAAGAAATTTTTAATATTAATTTCATAAATGCTACCATACATTTCTTATATAAATTTTAAATTTAAAAAACTTTAGCAAATTTTTAATATTTTGAATATTATTACAGGATGTCATATAGTAATTGTTATATACAAACATAGGCCATCTATATTCTTAATTTTGAACTAAAACACTGTATTTTTGTATTTCTAACGTGACAAAAAATTATAAATTTGATTATTGACCCATTAAATTTAAGTTAATTGAAAATTTTTATTTAAAATTAAATATATACACATAAATTAAATAAATTAATTGATTGACATTGAAAATTTTTATTAAAAATTATAGATCAAGTTAATTTTAATTATAAGATTATTAATTTAATCATATGTTTTCCTTTTTAATTTCTTTCTTGTTGGCAACCATATTGCTAATGACTTTTTTTACTTATTTATATGTAACAAATTAATAAAAATATGTATATATATGTGGGTTTTTAAATTTTTTAACTTTTAAGAAGAAACTTATTGGTGTAAACAACAGATACATATACACAAATTATGTTTAACAAACTCTAAAACTTGATCTTGAATTTAAAATTTTTTAGTATTTTAGACAACTTCAAAAAAATTTTATTTTAAACGCAAATGCGTCAGATTTATATTAAAAATCATTTGAAAAAGTTGATCCAATTAGCGATATTATTACAAATAATTGGGTAACATTTATGTGTATTTTAAAATATTTTATTGTTATACAAATTGCGTATAACATATTTTAAATATTAATCATTAATAATAAATAACTGTTTAACACTAAAATTATCGGTATTAAAATAACAATATATGTACGTCTAGTATAAATTATTAAAAATTGTTTGTATTATAAGTGGAAACGTCTAGAAAAATGATTCAAATATTTAATTTTGAAAATTTTTTTGTAAATTATTCATAAATAATGTTGTCGTAGGTTTTGTCTTTGCTTTTTTTTTTTTAAATTCCTTAAAAGACTTTAATGGCTTTGCGAAAAGAACTTTAAAGTCAGGGTTTTTGCATTTAAAAAATTTTTTAAATATTTTTTTTTTTTCTTTACAATTCTTGAATTTTAAAAGCCATATATACATATGTGTATATATATATTTATAAAAATAATATAACAATTCATTTTATTAGAATTGAAAAATTCAAATTAAAAATAATTGTTGCAGAAATATAGAAACAATAATAAATTAAAATGGAGAAATAAAATATAATTGTCATATTAAATTGCCGGTAAAAATTATTCTTTTAAATTGTAAGTTAGTGGCGAATTAAAATAAATTGTACATAGGTGCGTTTATAGAGCTTTTTTTTTTTGTTTTTAATATATTTGCATGAATTGTTTCGTGATTTACAGATTTTTTTATTTTATTTTTATTTTTAAAAATGTGATAACATATATAAATATTTAAATATGTATTTAGTTTTATTTTCCTGGTACATACACAATAAACATAATATATATACTTATATATATTTGTTTTATATAAAAAATGCGATTAGATTATAATTTTAATTGTGATATAATTGACTAATCTTAGAGAATTTGAAATTCAAATTTATTTAATGATGTTTCATCAAGGTTTTTCTTACTGTCTTTTTTTTTTCTCTATGACAAAATATTCTATTTTTACTTTCTTTGTGCAAAATATATAAATGTTAAAATAAATAACAATAGTAATATATAAGGTAGCAAAATGAAACGAAAAATTAAAAGGAAAAACAAAGAAAGGAATAAAAAAAAAATAATTAATTTTTGCTTTTTAATTTTATTACTTTTTTATTATTTTACTATAAAGCATTTATTATAATATTAATTATTAAAGAAATGAGAACAAAAATTGATATTATTATATAAAGTCAAAAATAAAATCAGAAGTAATTTTTAATTTTTTAATTATATTACATAACTTAAGATAGCTGCGGGAGTTATGCTTATGTAAAATGTAGGGGGATTCGGATAAAATTCGAAAAATAAGTAAATTGTAGGGGGATTCGGTAGGGGGATTCGGATACGGTTTTGACAAAAGCAAATCAAATATTTTACAAAATTAACAATACAAATTATACATCTGTCATGTTAGATGACAGATCAATAAAATGTTAGATGACAGATTAATCACATATTAAGTGACAGATTTTGATCGTATATTTTGGTTCTCTTTTATTTTATAGTATAGTATACCTGAAGTACATATAAATATTTTTTAAATTAAGTAAACTATGCATCTCAACTCTCAATGGTACACAGTTGTTATGTACATAATTTTTTGGAAATACAACTTATTTAATTAGCATGAAAAATTGTTAAAACATAAAAATATATTGGCTGTATCGAAATTCGCTTGAAATTTATATAATATTTCACAATATTCCATCTATATGCGAAAGTCTTCCATTCAAATGTTTTAAAGATTTGAGTTTAAGAAACTGTTTTTATTTAGTAAGACAATTAAATATTTACTTATTCATATACATATAATAATCATATAGTATGAATCAAAAGATGCAGTGAAATGCATGTGCAATATACAATATTACAGGATATGAAAATTTTGCGATCTTTTTTTTTGTCCACTTCCGACATAAAGTTAAAAATGCATATAATGCATGAATACATAAAATGTCACGTATTTAAATGTTCAATATGCTTATATGAAACTTGCGTATTGTATAACTTGCTCTACACGCATTAATGAATTTTTTTTTTTTAAATAATTAATGTTAAAAATTTCAAAATTTTTCAAATAAACTATTTAATATTTCAGGAACTATAAAAGTATGCAAAATAAAACGAGAAAAATATAAAAACAAAAAAATACGGACTTGTTATATTTTCGCCTTAACAACTTAAATGTAACAAAATTACCTAACGGCCTACATTGAACACCTACAAAGGGGACTGCCTATTTCATACATTTTTATATAGTTTTTACAGAAATTATTAAAAATACAAATACATGCTTACATAAACGTATTTATTATACGAATGAAAAATAGAAAAAATAGTTTAAATTTTAATTAATAAAACAGTAAAAATCTAACACAGAAAAATAGAATAAAAATTGAAATAAATGTAAAATAAGAAGAAAACAAAAAAATGAGAAAAATATAAAAAAAAAAAAATTAAACTTTTGTATTCCTTTGCAGACAAGTAAAAACAAAATCAGAAGAATAAAAGAGAAAAATAAAATAAATAAAACAGAATGAGAGAAAAAAAATGTACAACTCCTCTCCTATCAACAATTGTTGTACAGCAATTACTATTATTATTAACAATTAATCAAGATTTTTTGTAAAACAAAAATGTCTTATACCTAAAGGCGCTCATTCATTGTAAACGCATATGTATTTATTAGTCTATATGCATGTTAATAGTATAGATTTACACAATACATACACACAAATATATTTACATATAACTATAACAATACATGCCCATTTCAATTCAAACTCTATATACTCGTATGTATGTAAGTAGAAGATAATAACAAAAGAACACCACAAAAACATAACAACAACAAAATTCACACAAAAACGGCACAATAAAATAGCAACAAAACAACAACAATACAACATAATATTTACTTTTATATTTAATTTTAAAGCTGTATTAAAAACGGTAAAGAGAAAAACATAAAAATAAAAAGAAAAAGAATAAAATAGTAAAAAAAAGCGAAAAAATATACAATTTATCCATCCATCCGAAAATTTCACGTTGTACGTACACTTATATTTCACCGGTCGAACGGTGAGCATCGTGTTTTATCGTAAACGTCGCGAGCGTAATTTATATTCGTTTTTTTTTTCATTTCATGTATTTTATTTCTTTTAAGTTTTGTATTTTTGAATTTTTCTCTTAACTTTTGTTCTTTTTTTGCCTTTTATTATCACAATTCCATTAAAAAAGTTTTGTTAATTTTATTGCAAACAATTAAAAAAGAAAAACGATAAAAATAAATTATTAAAAATAATAATAAATAAATTGTATAAAGTGATCAAAAAAATAAAATAAAAAAAAAAGGAAAAAAAACAACTGTATTTATAAAATAACAGTATTTCTCTTTTATAAACAATTAATCGTACAACTTCAGAATAGAATAACACTGTTATATAAAACCTAACGGTAATAGTATAATATTTATTTTAATTAGTTTCTTCACCGCCAGGACATTTTAAATAAAATCATTTTTTTTGTATTTTTTTTATAATTTAGTGTATGAATTTTAATTTTGAGAAAATAAAAAATTTAATTTTTAATTTTAAAAAATAAAAAATTTAATTTAAAAATTATATTATATTATATTAATATATAAGAAAAAAATTAAGAAAATATAAGAAAAGTTATAAAGTTTTAAAAGGAGAATTAAAGAAAATTAAACTTAAGAATTTATTCGTATAAAATAAGATCAACAGTAGTGTTAAAAATCAATTAAAATTTTAAAAATAAAATTAAAGGATTATAATTTATTAGTTTGACAAATGTAAAACAATAAAGGTAAATTGATAATTTTATTGTAATTTACAAATATTTTTTTAATTTTAATTAAATATTTATGAAAATAAATTTATTTATGAAAATTAATAATATTATAAGTAGTTGATATAATATAATATTTGAAAAACTTTAGCTTTTTTGTAATTATATATACATACATTTGTATTTTTAATTCTTCATAATTACAGTCCTTGAAGTACTTTTGTTTGTTAGAAAATAATATTTAATTTATAAATTGAGTTTTGAAATTTCATAAAAAAGTTGAACTTTTAGCTTCATTTTCTTCTTATTGTTATATATATATATAACAATAAGAAGAAAATAAAACCGGATGATTAGGGCACTTCTAATGGTTCTTTTTAATTCAGAACTAATTATGTAATTTTTTTTTTCGGATTATTAAAATTTTCGTAATTTAGATTAAACACAAAATCGAAAAAATCTTGTTGAACTAAATATGGAAATTGTCTTGAATTTTTTACTTTAGAAATGTTAGTTTATACTTCTTATAACTTCTTAATATTTCAAAAAGAAAATAGGGAAATTAGGAAACATTTTCTGGTGCCCGCGATTGCAACAAAAAGCAGAACCCATATCCAATTGAACCAAATATAAAATTCTTTTAATATAATAGAATATTTTTAAAACAAAATTAATTCTTTATTATCATTTTACTATTTGTTTTTCCTGTTCTCAAGAAAAAATTTTGTACCACCGTGTGTTACGAATTTTAAAAAACCTTAACTATTGCTAACCTAATTAAAACCTTAACTTGTTAAAAAACCTAAAACTATTATATTATTAAAAAAACATATTCCAAGCGCTAATACCATAAATACACAGGGCTTGGTTATGATTGTACGTAAATATCTACATACTAGCTATCTCACAAGTCTTAGCTTTAAAAAGTAAAAAATTTTTTACGCGCACACGTCGGTAAATTGAATACGTTAAGTTTTTTAGAAAAAATTGTTAAAATTTACGAGTAATAACGCAAGCACATTTATCCTATTTTTTGAATGTTCTCTAACTCATGCGCACTCATTTAAAAATTTAAGTCCATATTGCTCCAAAATTGCAACTAAATAAAAACAAAATGATTGAGCTATTATACATGAATTATTTCAAATACATATTAAAAATATTAAGAGGGAAATTCTTTTATAAATTGGGCATATCTATAATATTTAATTCCAAAAATTTCACTTGAATTTTTATTAAGATTAATATTTTGAAAAAAATATTGATTTAACAAACTTAATATTTAAAAAATATCAAATATTTGTTTGTGTGTTCATTCGAATGCAATTATATGCATAATTTGAAATTAAATTTCAAGAGAAAAACGAAAAATTCAAGATCATAGGAAATTGCTTTAATTATTAATCATTTTATAAAATGCATCTTTTAAATAAAATTGCGGAAAATTCAATTAAATTCAAAATTTTTCTCATTATAAATTGATTGGATTAATTCAATGAATTGAAAAATTTTTAAGACATTTCCATATCACTTTGGATTATTTTTGATCAATTTGGCACACGTACAAGATTTTATTTATTTTCTTTTTTTCGCTATTTCAAATATGTGCGAATATCAAAATTTCATTTTCTATAATGGGAAAAAAAAAATTTTTTAATTTTTTACATTTAATTATTTTGATTAAAAACACAAAAAAAACAAGATATGTAATTGATTCGTTTATGTGTGTGTGTATTCAAATTAGTGTACATATAGTTCCATTAAATTTCTTTCGGAACAAAATTATAAAATTTTTTTTTTTTTATTAATTTGCGCAGCATAATATTTTTATACATACATGTATTATTTAATTTATATTATATGAAAATAAACATTTTAAATGAATAAAAAATAAAATCATTAAAAATTTGTAAAATAAAATCAGAAAATTATAAAATAAAAAAAATTATAACGAGTTCAATAAAACAAATCATCTGGAAATAAAATTTTCTTATTTTAATTTTTTTTATGATCCCCATTGAAGTATCAATGCCGACAATAATACCTAAATTTAATTAACTGTCAATTTGTATACACATACGTACATAATATCTATATAATTATAAAACTGAAATGAAAACATAAATTTATGTATTCATTTATTTTTTTTATCACATGTAACATGCATATATTTGTAAATAATTATATTATTTATTATAATTCTTTTAAAACAGTCAACTCAACACCATACAACAAAACGTACAACATAAAAGTTAGAACACACCATTTATACGTAATAAAATTAATGATTATCAATTTTATAATTGGTTAAAACCTTTAAGAGTATATGAACCGCCTTCACTACTATTTGCCTTACAATAATATTTATTTGCGTCAAAATTACGGGAATTGAATTGTACATGTTCTTGATTGTGTTGTGTTTAATGACATTTAAGTTTCAAAATTTAAGTAGAATATCTCTAACTATATAATATTTTTTACAAAAAAAAACATGGAAATGTGATAGTAACTATAGAAGTCAAGCATTTTATATACCAGTAGATAGCTTTTTATATGAATAATAAATGGCGGAGTTCTTGGGGATGGGTAGAAACCAAGTTCTTGTCATTGCGAAACTCTTCACTCACTGTACAATAAAATATCATTTGCGCAAGCTGAGAAAATCGGAATCCTGGAGACAGTGACGAAACGATTGTACATATGCTTTATGACGCTTCGGTACTGGCTTTCCGGCGCTAAAATTGTTTTTGACAGTGTTTCCTAAATGATCCGCCTAATTTGAGTTTGACAATGTTGTAAAATAAAAACTGCTAATAAGCGCCTAAAATTGAAATAAATTTGTTTATCTCTTTATAGTTTTTGATTGGTAATGCAGTTAAATCAATATTTTACCGCCCTATTGTTGACCGATAACATTAGTTTTGTATAGATGTTAAAGCTATCTTTCCGAATTTACGTATGGTTTGCTTATACAATCAAATTTTCTTCATATTTTATAAAACTTTTAATAGCATTTTCTGAAAACTTCTTATTGGTCATATTGATTTCGATACATTTAGTTACTTTATATAGGATTTGTAATTATTATGCTTAGGCTTTCTATTATTAATACAAATAAATAATAATCAATTGTATTTTCTAAATGCACACTTGAAGTCATCTACTTATAGAATTATTGAAAATTTACGTCAACTGTTTCTATAAATACTCATTTGAATCAATTTTACTCTTCTCCGCATTATTCAAATTCCTAACTTGATTTTTCATTCAAAAATCGCTAATTTTATAAACACATTATACACTTTTGCAATTTCTTAAATTTCTTACAAACATGTGCAACGGGTAACCTTTTACAATAATATAAAAATATTTTTTTAATTAATTATTATTTATAATATACGAATTTATAAACAATAATTTAATTATAATAAATTTAAATTCTTGTATAATTTTATTTATAAACATATCAAATGTTTATATATAAAGTATATAAACATATATATTTTATAATGTTTTCGATTGAAAATATAAAATCATTAATAATAACAGTAATGTAAATTAATTTCAATTAAATTGACTTAGATTTTTTGGTCTAAATATTATTGAAATTCAATAAACATAAATAAATAATAAAGTAATTTAGAAAAATTGTGTAAAAAATGTTCTATTAAAATAAAAAACAATAAATAGCTTCAAATATTTTATCGAATTATTTGTAATTTTTGAAAGTGAGAAAAATTTCCGGTTATTTAAAAGACCATTAAATTTCAAATATATGTCTAATTTATATTTTTATTTAAACTCCATAAATTTTATGTATGTATATGGTAGCTAGCTATATTATATGTATGCATGTCTATTTAAAAATTTTATAAAATTAAAATATACGTCAATATAGTAAAATTGATAGCCATACAATAAATTCAATTAAATTTGTATATTTCTGAAAATTTTATTTATTTCAATAGAATTTTTTATACTGGGAAAAACGTTTCAGTTTATGTTATACGTGTATATGTATAAAGTCCGGAATTTCATAAAAAATATTATTTGTTTGCAATTTGTTTTTGAATCATATACTGATTTATATTATTTAGAAAATCAAATTACTATATTAATTGAAGTGCTATGAGTAATAATGATGAATCGTGCCAAAATAAATTTATTAATATATATAGTTTATTTTGTATTTTTTTTATGATTCCATTTTGCAACCATAGCTATACATATAAATTTATTTTATAAAGCTATCTAAAGTAAATAAATATACTTTGAATTTTATATCTAATAATTGTATTATTCTCATCACTGGGGACTAGTTTAAAACACTTGGGAAGAATCACTTTAAAAATTATATTGATTAAAAAGTTTTTTTTTACTAATAGTAAGAATTTATTCACTCCATCAACTTACTTGTGTATTATAATGTGCAACTTGCAGTTTTATTGTCAGTATTGTGATAGCGAGTCGATATCTTGATATCATTTTAATTTTCAAGATCAAACGATCACATTGATTTTTAATGCTATCGTTCTGAAAATGAAACGGAATTCTGATATTCTCTTGTAAAAAAAATCTTAACGCGCTCCGAAAAGACTGATTTGAAAAGAAATATGAAAATAAATTCGATTACAATTTAAATATATAACTACATCACACGAAATATAAGAAATATAAGAAAATATCCGTAAATATTGCATATTTATGGGCGAGTCCAATTTTACATTAATATTCCAGTTCATTATCATGGTTTTATTTTTGATATTAAATGTTTGGAAGAAAAAATGAATTTTTTAAACAGAAATATATGTATGTAAATGAACACACACATTGTTCTTACTGATGAAAAACGAAAATTAATTTTTCATTTTTTTTAATTAATAATTTTATTATTCAATTGAAATTATGTAAAAAAAAAACAAAATTATTTAATATATTTTGACTATAATTAATCTCTTATCATCAATATTAAAAAAATATGTATATATATATTTTTCTTTAATACACACATACAAACT